CCCTTTCTCTCTTTTACTCATGTTCCCCTACCACCTTTCCTTCATCTCAGGATTATATAACTCAAATGCGAGCATTCCTCACAACAGTCATGGAGCAGGCTCACTCGAGCAACACTGATGCCCCGCCCCTCCTCAGTCTCTCTCTTTCCCATTGGCTGAGTGCCGTTCACAGCCAGGTTGGTATTGGCTGAGTCATCTGTCACTACAGCCTGTCAGCCCATGTGGACATTCTGTCCCACTGACACACTTTCCCACTGCAGGGGGAGAGGGAGGAGGGTGGAGAGCACCATCCTGACTCGCCACAGACCAGTTTTAAGGTGGAGCCAAACAATGCTCAGACTTCCTCATAAAACATTTCCCTGAAGGCTTGTAGATTGGATCAGAAAACTGGCCATGTAACATAACAACAAGATATGCCAAGAGGGCTTAGAGAAACCGCACTTACCAGTTTGATTACACACCTCACTCATCACTCAAAATGTTTTGTCATATGGAGTGATTGCTATGCAGATATTAAACCCTGTGCTATTCTATTAATGAGAAAGCATTTGATTTGATGGTAGGAGCTCATATTGTAACCGACAACAATCCAGTCAAAGCAGAAAACATCTGAACTTCAATGTCAGCAATTCAGCCCACTCCCCTCTCGCCAGACTTTGACATTGAGCCTGTGCTTAAACCCAATCTATTTCTGTGCTGTGAGCCAGAATTACAGATACCGCCCCCCCACGTTGTTGCTGCAAACACACATCCATGCTTTCTCACTCCTATTCTCTGACATTCCAGGTATCGAGAGAAAGTCATATATTTATATCCTTTATTTTTCCATTATTGAATGTGATGGTCTGTAACTGCCTGGTTAATGAAAACATACCAGCCCTTTAAACCAATCACCTACATACGTACTACCAAATATTAGCAACGTCATAAAAGACTTGTATCACTGACACAATAGAGAAAAGAAAAGCGATGGCTACAGATAATAACTTTGATTTACTCAATTCAATATTTTATGAAACATTTGAAAATAGTGAAAAATGCCCTTAACCTTAGACCAACTGTCAAAAACCCAACACTATTGTGTTTTTTATACACAGTAAGACTCATATATGCATCAGGAGCTGGAACAAGTGTATTTTATGCATTATTTCTTAAAAAGTTACTTATTTTTGGTCAATTTACCAAACGATAAGTTAATTCATTTCATTTTGACAGAAAACATCACTGTAATGAGATGAACCCAGTGATATTGAACACACTCAAAATATATAACAAATTCAACAGCTATTACATTTACCTTGAATCATTACTGACCGGCGCTGAACAAAAATTATTAGACATCATCTGAAGCTCTCTAAAGAGTCTGCATACCAAAAACATATATCCTAATCCTGAATTTTGCTACCATGATAATATCATGATCGGCTGTCCCGAATACCATTTTTCGGGCTCCGGATATTCGGTAGTAATCAGCAGCGAATATTCGGCCCGCGCGGGGGGGTGCGTAGTAATCGGCAGCGAACCGCTTCAACACGTGTATTTCGGTTTATTCACAGCATTCATTTTGTTATTCTACAGTATTGTTGTTTTATAGTTATTTGTTAATGTAACCCAATTTGTGTTCTTTGAAATTGAAAAGGATATTGCTTTGTGTTTGTTACTTTCGTTGCAGTTGTATATGTCTTAAGTGTAATTTGGCTTGGCTTCCTATTTTGTATGGACATGCTTTTATTTTGAAGGAGAGTTAGCGCTGTTGACAGGAAGTTGTTGTTGCTATGGAAATTAACGGAGAAAAAGTAATATCTACATATAAAGACGGAGAAAGTAAACGATAACGTTTATGGTTAAGTGTTAGCACCCCCCGAAGAGGCACAAGCTCTTACGTTGATATTGGAGTTTTCAATAAATTCTATTTGGCAGCCGCAGTGCTCGAATATCCGAATAATGAAATTGAAACCCGAATAGTACTCCAACGAACGAATATTCGGGTACAGCCCTACATGATAAACAAAGGCTGCACGCAGGGCTTAACATTTTTCACACACTAACACTCCCGAGTCCGAAAATGTTAGCGTGAAATGTAATAAATTGCTGAAAATGAAGCCAGATGCAAACAAAGAATGGTGTTAGAGCAGACTGCACATCCAAGCCTTTTCACAAAGAAAACTTGGAACAGACATTTAACACTTCGGCTACAAATAAATGTGATAAAAGGCTAATTCAGTATTGAAGGGATAGAGAGAGGTACAGACAAATCACTGAGTTTTTGCTTTCGGCTGTTCGCTTCCTGGAATTTCATATGAACCACAAACAACCAATAATCCTCCAGCAGGAGCCCCCTGGCTTGTAGGCCTACTTAGTCAGTATGACAGTGTTTCAATATATTTAAAGGAAAAAAATAACATTGCTGACCCTCCACATGTTCACAAACATCATGTCTCTGTATTTTAAACGTACAATCTGTTTTAACCCAAGTACCGGCAGTTCACTTATTTAGCAAGTCACAATGACATGCAGACTACAACTAAATGCCCGTTGAGCATCAGAGTGATGGAAGGCTCTATGGGAGCTTGTGTTCTTTTAATTATTTCCATTACCTCAGCATAAGAATGACTGACGGCACAAGAAGATACGCTCAGTTGGAGGTGAGGGGCCTGGTGCTTGAGTTCTTCACTCATTAGCAAAGCTGAAGCACTTGTTGTGTCATGCCTCACAGTTGGGTGTAAACTAACAGCGCAGCACAGAGCCGTAACACAAATCCACTGTGGTTGCCCTTGTTGTCTCTTCCATCTTTTGAAATCATGTTTACGGGAATGTTTTTCAGATTATATTGTTTCCAAAATATGTGTTTGCAAAGCCTCAAGGCCTCAGAGAAGAACCTGAGGAGATCAGTATATTCTTAGATAGGGAAACAAGCCCCTGTTTGTTTTCACACCCTGTGCTTGTTTCTATGAAGTGTCTTACTGATTACACTTGACACAGCGTAGCACACAGCCCCATTCTCTAATACGCAGCTCTCACTAAATAATTAGATGTTACTGTCTAAGGATGATCCTACTTGACAAACAAAACGGATGAGACTTCACTCTCAAAATGCTTAAACAACTTGGCTGCTTGGCTGCTGGTGCACTCAAATCAAGGGGCTCTATTTTTAAAAGATGCAAATACCAGAGGAGGCCAGGCTGAGGCACACTAAGGGGGGATTAACAGAGCAAAACATTCCATAGGCCTCTTCTACCCACCGTCAGTGTGTGTGTATCTTATGCTCTTTCACTATGTCTTCATGGAATAAATATTAAGACATGCTGCAGTAGCGCTATCTTGTATCACAGGAGGTGTCAGATATGACAACAGGACATAAATTAAAGCCAAAAGTTGTTGCAATTACTATTTAGACAACTGGTTCTTATACCAAATGTTTGTATGCATGTTCAAACTGGAAAACAAATGCTGACCTGCTTTTCTAGTGAGGAAATGGCAGGTTGGGTGACTAACACACATTTTCAGTGCAGTGAGCTAAGGGTCGTGCTTTGTTTACATTTGGATATCCTGCCAGAATTGGATCCTCCCTTCATGAGAGGCCCCCTCAGCTTCTTCCTCCCTCCCTTAAAACAAAATCCATCTCTGTCCTCCCCTGCCAAAAAAAACTTTTTGCAGCTGTTCTGCACAACAAAAGATTGTAATGTAAGACAAGGAAACCGAACTTTAGTTAACATTGAGAGAAGGATTAGTTTAATTGTAACATACTAGGTCTTTGTTTGCAACTAAAACTGCTGCATGAATGTGTGTTTTGATAAAAACTGTGATATGTTTACAGCAAGATCTGTCTTTCTGGTAGACAACACAAAACAAATAATAATGTCACCCAGGCTATGTAATGCTGAGAAATATTTGCCTTTTTCCCATAAGAAATAGGGCTATTGAAAAAACATAGTTCAATGTTACAAACAATAGGAATCAGATGGCTGTATGTATGTAAACAACTTTTCTCTGCTGCCCTCTACCCAAGTTCATCCTCGGCCTGTGTCATGGAGCCACAAACTGAAGGCCGAGCGTCAGTGCGCGGCTGTGCCCGCACATGGAGCTGCACGCCCGGCGGCACGGCAGTTCCCACAGCCTCCCCCCCTCCCGCCGCTGCCTATGCTGTATAACGTTGGGTGACATAACTAGGTCAGTGGAACAGCCAGATCCTTCTCCCTCTGCGCACTCACACGGTCAGCCATGCTGGCACAGCCATCACATCACAACAACATCACACCACTACTCCAACACTGCTCACATGCATGTTGTAAAGTCCAAGCTACAAGGGGAAAGTTAGCAGGAATCCTCACCATTTTTTCATTTTTAAAAAACATATTTAAATGTAAAAATAATGACTAAATAAGACGTTTGATTGATAGTAAATACCAGTACATGACTTAATACATTAATGTGAATGTTTGCATAATTTCACAAGATTTTCAATTAATTTGAAACCTGATAAACTCGAATAACGTCTCTATTACATAATTGCAACAATCTTCTCTCATACCCCTCCCTCTCCTTATTGCATAACTCCTAACATGTATGTCCAAGCAACATTTACAGAAGGTAGCCCAGATGAGACTCACATTTCCTCAAAAACAGACACATTTGGCACCGCCATGATGCATAAAATAAACAATTACGCATGTGTGCAATTAAAGTATTGGCCTGCTTTCACCACAAACAGACCTAAGAGATGATGCAAACTGAAATCATCTGCTTGAGACATTTCTCCTGATTGAACAATATGCCTCCTGCTGTTTATCATTGCATGCTGAACTTCAGCGTGGAGCATGCAGCCTGGGGCTCTGTGCAGCCATAATCCAGTCATGAGGGATTAATGCGCAATGGGAGAAAAACAAGCGCACTCAAATCCCCGTTAGCACACATGTGGCCGTTCAAGACCCACAAACCCCCCACTGTGATCTTCACCAAGTTCAACTGGACAGATTTAATGCGAAAAACTATCAATTTACCTCTCATTTTGATGTTTTTCTTTCTCTTGGCAGAACGGTGTAAAAACCCAGCGACACGGTCGAGCAGATTAAGCCGCTGGAGCCAGAGTGAACTGGCTTCGTAAATTAATTTCGCCCCGGCTGCAGACAGCCTTCGTAAAGCACGACCAAAAAAATACTGGGAAAAAAACTACCCGAAACTCCTCTCCCCTATCGCTCGGTCAAGTCCGAGCGAAATAAAAGAGTGCAGAAAGTCGCTACGGATTGCATCGTAACCTCTCGGTGCATCGGCGTAGATATTTAGCAAAACTTTTCTGACATAATAGTCCCACGGTCACAGTGGACGACCGGTGATCGGACCCCCCCCTCTGTGCTCTGATTCTCCGCCTGCTTTCCTCTCAGTCTATCCTGCTAACCTACTTTCTCATCTCCAAGCGTGGTGGACTCTCCCATGATCTCACCGCCGACAGATCCTCTCGCAGCTCTCGCGGGATCGCGCCGTCGGGGGCGAGTTTAAAGTGGCTAAGCAAATGATTGACTAGTGCTCTGTTGTCATGAGAAAATAATTATGATCCCTACCAGGAATGTAATTAAACCTGCAATCAGTTCTGCTTTAAGAGACATGCATACTGTATGTGCTCTCATCTCACTCACACCTGACTTAGATGTGGCAAATAAACCTTTGTAATGTTAGCAAATTAGATAGAAGAAGCTATAGGAAACTTGCTCTTTGTTTACCAGAAAGCTTACACCTTGTAGATTTTATTCATTGCACTCATTCCCAACCTGAGGGAAGATACCTGGAGGTTGGTGGAGTATGCAGTTAAAAAAACGTATAAGCTAAAAGAAAGCAGTTCTAAGTAGTATCAGGGAGAAAAACAAAACTACACAAACATAATCTCCAACTATTACTTATACATAAGTAATTATTCAGGCAAAAGGTCAGAACATGATATTATCAGCCTCTCAAATATGGAGATTTCCTGCTTTTCTTGGTTATGTTTAAACTAAATATCTTTGGATAATGGAATGACAATACAAAACATTTGAAAACATGACCTGGAGAAACTGGAATGGATATTTATTTTTCCTATTATCTGACATTTCAGAGACCAGTCTTTATCTAGAATATAATAAGCAGACACGTTGATAATGGAAGTAATCGTTATTAAAATATCTATTTTCCCCAATAAACGAGAACACACATACATTTTCTTCGGTGACAACATAAATACTGTGTAGAGTTGCTGCAGCGTCTCAGAGATTCATTTCCTGGACCTGTAAAATATTCATAGAGCCATTGTACTCAAATGAGCTTTGGTCCTGTGTCTAGTGTTATGAAAATATGCCTTGCTGCTCTCCCAATGATTGCTCACCACCGTTAAATTTAGTTTATACCCAGTGACAGTGCACAGTTGTATCCATTGTAGTCTGGTTCCTGTTGGTACATTCACATTTATGCACTACACTTGCAGGAACATATCACAGGAATAGAGCTACTTATTTCTATCTCAGTATTATGTCATCCACAAATACCAAATGTGTTATTTTTGCTTGTACATTTTTCTTGAACATTTTAATGGGTGAGACATTACAGACAGTGTGTGATAGTGGGGGCTGATGAAGAGGTGGATGGTTACTCAGGTGTGGGGGGTAGCTGTAGGGGCGGCTTTGTGATGCAATACTCTGATAGCGGTGTTCTGAAACAGCATCAAGGCAGAGATTACTCAATCTAGGTTAGTGGAGCAGTCGGGCACCTTCAGCCAATCGCTTTTATTTATACACTTCATCAGATTGATTTTTTTATTCATGCATACGTGTTCAAATCCTTACGTTTCTTCCTTCCTGCACAGCTTTTTCCTATCAGACGTTTGTGTCTGCAGTTTTTCCCTCTCTCGCGCCCCGTGCACATCTCTTCTAAAGCCCCTCTGTTCTATGTCTCCCTTGACAACGGCAATGACACTTTGACCTTAGCTCTTACGTAACCGCTGTGCAGCTCTGTTAGACAGCAGAAGAAGGGAAAAGAGAGAGGGAGTGGGAGAACAGCTTCGGCATAGCTTCTGCATGGCAGACATTTTGTTGCCCAATGATAAAGCAAGAGGTGAAAGAAGAAGGCAAGGAAGAAGAAGAGTTTATAGATGGAGAAGGATTTTGGAAGGTTGCCAGCAGCAGCATAACAGGATGGGAGAGCAGACGGGGGGGGGAAGACGGATATTTACATCATAGACTCTGTGACAACAAGCAAATCTGCAGCTCACAAACAAGGAGCAAAACAAGTCCCCTTTGCCTCGAGTCAGAAAACTAAACACAGTGGTTTGAACTGACAGCCCTGTGGTGCAAGTAATAGGCATGAATTATGTCTCTGCAGAGAAGGGTTGTGAGATATTTCCAGTTAACACCTTTCAGGATTATTCACATCCCTCTCAAATAAAGTGTATTGCAACAGAGTATCTTATTAAAAAATGCAACCAACTCTCTTTGATTACTGTACATTAGAAAATGTGGGATGCAAGGTACAGCTATGGGTAATAGTGACATTTGTAGCAGTTACCTTGACCAGTCACATACAATATGTCTGTATTTAGTGAACTGATTTTTAGCTACCACATGACTCCTCCAACACTTTCAATGTCAGGCGAGCGGGTATTTTGTTGTTGTGCAGAGGGCCCTTGTTGTGAGGAACGGCATAAGGTTTCTCCTGACTCAGATCAAAGCCAGTGTAGCCTTGTGACTCCCCGGGGTTGAATTTAAAGGCCTCGCTCACATCAAAGAGTCTTTGTAGGGATGAGGGACCAACTGTAACTGATTGGCTGCACATGGTTTCAGTGGGGCCCCATGGCCAATCTCTCTGCTCTAGCAGCATCAACTCCTTACATTCCAGTCTATCATCTCACGTGCACATTGTAAAACACTTGCATGCATTTGTATGGGAACATCTGTAATTTAATCATACATGACATTCACCACATCCTGTCTTTTATTTCATAATTTGTTCTAATTTGTAACTACAAACAGTCAAACACACACATGTACTCGACTGTGCCAGTGAGTTTGCTTGGATTATTTCAGGCTACTGCCATCCACTGAGCTGTAATCCCTCACTCCCTTTTCCCTCATTCGATTAATCTCCATGTTTTCTCTTCTCTGGAGGCACCATTAATCCCTCTCTCCTCCTCCCCGCAGCCCCTGCTCTGAAATCTGGAGCTGTGAGCTGTACAGCGTCACTAGGTCAGTGTGTCAGATGGAGTACAAACAGTTTTCCCTCCTGTCACAATGTAGTCATCCTCCTCCACTCAACTCCACTTTGCATCCCTGCCAATCTCCATATTTTCTGTGTCTCACCCCAGGCTCTTTTTCCCCCCTTCTTTTTGTTATCTTCCCAGATCCTGTTACCACTCTACACTGTAGCACATCTGTTTCTTTTATTCTCTTGGTTTCTTCTTATCAGTTTCATTTTTCATACACGGTGCAAATTTGATAAAGCGTGCAGAATAAATAGAATGAGTTCAGTCTCAGGGCATTAGATACAGATTTATCTCAGCACTCACACCCCCCTCTCTCAGGCATTACAGAAATAGAAAATGTATTCTTGCTGCATTATACCTAGTCACAATACTGATAATGAGCTATTGTTAAGTCTAATCATATTTGTACAGTTAAACATTTGGATTTACACATCAATAAACATTAACACCTGTTTTGGTGGTTTAGCAAGTTAAACTTGAATTTAGCTCTAACCTAAACAGTGAGAACAAATGCAAATCGTCTTCACATCATAATCTGTCAGATATACATTTGTAACCTGAACCCAAGCTCTGAGCACTGCAATGCAACTAATAAAGATTTCCTGGGGATTTTCGGGCCTCTAAATTAGGTGAGAAATTGGATCCTAAATAAACACACACACACTTTTTTTCTTCCAAATTCAGAACAGTTTGGGTGACTTCGACATTTATATATTTCGTTATTATTTGAGCTCTTTTCACTTGTTGGCTTATACTTACTTCCTTCGAACAATCTATAAACAAACACAATTTGAATAGGAACCATTGACAGTTGTTAAATTGTTTGGTTACTGTTAATAAAGCGTCTAGACCTACACAGATAAAGAAGATTAGCTAAGTGTAAGAGTCTTCTTAAATAACACTATATCTTTTTTATTGTAATATGACCTTTTTAGTCATTAGTGTTTTTTTTTTTTTTAAACCAAAATACTTAAAATGTGGTTTTCAGTTTTCAGAGGCATAAGGTTAATCTATAGCTATAAATAAACAAATACACAGTAACTGCATGAACTCAGATACCTTATGATGTATATTGTTGTAAGAAAATGCCTGTTTTCTGTACACAAAAGTACAATGACTCCTCAGATCTTCACAGTGGAACCATCGCAATTCATAATAACATGCACATTCCTGTTCGAGGGCGCTCTAAATTAAGAACCGGATAGGGGAAGTATGGTTCTTCTCTATTTGCCCTGTTCAAATACTCCCATGCAACCCTCTAAATAGGAACTCACTTCTCTAAACATCCACAACACATTTAGTCTTTAACCATGTTGCTAAATTCAGTTTGCACGTCTTCATGGAAATGTTCTTCATGGCTGTTTGAGTTTGTGAAAGACATGCACACATATGTTTACATATCTATAGTATGTCCAGACTTGTCTTGACAAACACAGTCAGCAGTAAATCCCTCTCTGTCAGTCACTGTCTCCCTTTTATTTCCCCTCACCCTTCTACATCTCTCTTTGTTTCTCGCTAAGCAGGTTCAACATCCACACCCACAGTCACTTGAAAAGAAGGGAGTACTCTGAGTGATGGCACATTCACATTACAGAGCCTCTATTTAGTTAATACCCAACCTCTGATTACACATTAGCGAAAATACAAAAATACACTCATGATTCATTTAAGGTGTGAACATGTTTTTAATCAAAAATGATACAGCACTCTTGTTTATTAAATGCCTTTACTCTCAGTGTCGAGAAAAGAAACTGCGCAGCTTTTGTCTATGTCAACATTCAAATAGGAATCTGATGCAAATACAAATATGTGCCATGTAAAGACGTGGTGAGAGTAAAAGGAGGTTGCCAGAGCAACTGGGCTGTGTTTATCACCAGGGTGGTCAATGTGCTTTGCCATGTGAGCATGACCTAGTTTCACACAATTGGGTGAGACCACATGCAATCACACATGCACTATCACATGCAATCACACATGCACTATCACATGCAATCACACATGCACTATCACATGCAATCACACATGCAATCACACATGCACTATCACATGCAATCACACATGCAATCACACGTGCAATAACACATGGTTTAACATTATGATATTTCCATTCACTCTACTGTAAATAAGCCCAGGGAGGTGCAATAAGTTATTCCAGAGTCCTGCACATTTTACTTAACATGCGGCTACTTCCGCATCTGTCTTGTACCACCTTGCGTTCTCCATCTTTGGCTTGATGACCAACTTTATTTGTGCACGATCTGCAAGGCACTGCTGGACCCCTAAATGTCTTATCTCACTGCTCTTTCACCCTCCCATATTCCCTTCCTCTATTCCCTTTCACTATAATGCAAGCCCAGAGCCCTTTTTTTGTGATCGTCCCTCAATGATGTAAGCAAGGAAGAATGGAATTACTTAATAATCCTTTTGTTGAGCAACCCCTATTCTTACATGAGACATCAGTTAAAAAACTCTGAACAATGTTTACATTTTTGTTTTATTGTGCAGCCTTGGTTTGGTTTTTGAAGGAGTTTAATCACATTCACTTCCCAGCTTCTTGCTTTGTGTTCAACACATGCAACACACAGTGTATCCTGTATCTCACCTCAGGTAGTTGTTCATTTAGATAAACACCCTGCATTTGAAAATCAGGCATGGTTGAGCTTTAGTTTTTAGTTCATATAATGTATAACTGCCCAGATGACTCATCGCAACACAGACAGCATAAACAGAGACATCCAGTGTTGGGATTGTGGTATAACAGGCCGGGTTTATGTAATACTTTTTTGCTTTTTAACATCGACCTTTCGTGATTTTGAGTCACATGATGTCTTTCATGGGGTTCAAGAACAGCAGATGGATGCAATTATTGTTGTCTTATTAACTCTGACACACAAACGCACGCACGCACTCACGCACGCACGCACGCACGCACGCACACACACACACACACACACACACACACACACACACAAACAAACAACCTTTTCAGAGCGCGCTCCTGCACAGTAACACTGACACACTTTCTGAGGTCTGCACTACACTGCCCCTCCAAATGTGCCCGATCACAGATTGAGAACCCACACAAACATTATGCAACGCCAGAACATTACGTAATGCTCCATCACAAAAAAAAAGTTGGACCAAATCATTAAAACTCTGGCCAATGAACAGATCCATATGGTGCAGCTGATTCATTCAACTTCACTGGCATCTGTAAAGAAAAAAAATGCAAGCTGTTTTACACCAATATGTTTTTTTTCCTTGATGCTGATTTAGGAGGATGCATCACTGTCATCAATGAAGGCTGTGTTGTGTTTTTGAGAGTCTGGAGGTAATACAAGAGAAACTGTGAGAGTCTGCATTGCGTCACAGCAGAGGAAAACAGATAGAGAAGAGACCGAGAGCAGGGGCACTGTGGGGGAGGGAGGGCTGTGTCTGCACTGACCTAGTTAAAGCAATGGAACCCCCCCACCCCCCCTCCCATCCACCAACCTACATCTCTTCTGACATGTACAGGGGCACTTTCATACAGTACTAGACGGGGAGGATGAATACAGGAAGGCAGGAAAAGGAAGATAACCCAGTGGATAGAGAGACAGGCCCCCTGCTTGACAGCCAGACGAGAGTCAAGGAAAGTGAGATCTACAGGCAAATATATCAACAAGGACATACACGAGCCGGGGAGATCTGGGAAATAACTTTGCGAAAACAATATAAGCCTGAAGGGATTTAAAACAAATTAACGATAACAACAGGCCACTTCATATCCTGTGTAATATTAGATTTCTGCCTTTATTTTCAGAGAATAGCATCTTTCAAGTATAAACAGATTTGAATAAAATCAGAGTATCGCTAAGAAGGCAATTACTGCGAAAACATAGTAATTCCTAATAAAACACTTCATAACAAGATGCTATTTAACATGTCCTTGCTTTTCAGGGTTTTAAGTCAAATACATTCTAATGGTCGTTGCAATTTAAAATGTGTTGGGATTAACGGATACATATACTGAATACATTATAAATATTTCTCTTAATTATGCCACTGTTCCCCCAGTTTTGCTTTAACACTAAAGGTCAAAGCTTAATTCAGCTACACCTGACCTCCAGTCTTTTTCTAATAGGATGATTGTTTCCCCTTTCTGGCTTTAAATATTCCCAATTTCAGTTTGCGTGTTGCAGTCTTATGAAAAAAGCTGAAACTTTCCTGAAGCCAAACCGTCTTAACTCAAAAATATGTTTAACTGTATACAGTATAAAAGAAAAGTAAAACTTCAGACTGAAAACCTTTCTGCTCTGTCATCTGTTTTTGTTTTGTGTATTCTCAACTGTTCCATTCAGCCAGTCCAAAACTATTTCCAAATCAGATTCTTTAGATTTCCATTTCCCCTCGTTCAATCGTTCTTTGTTTCTTTCCGTCAGTCCTTTCCTTCCCTGCACGTTCAGCTCTGCATCTGCATTCTGATGCTGAAGTCTTTCCTTTAACAAGAAGACAGACACTGGGATTATTCGTATCTCTGCTCTTTGCTCCCCTGGGCTACCTCATGAGGATGTGAAAATACTTTGGTGGTTTAAGTTTTTGATAACACTTTACAAAACCAAAACTTGATTTTGGTCTATTCCTACTTTTAAACCAGAAATCTTTTTTTAATATTAAAGAACCATTCAAAGAAAGTAGAACAATAGACCTTTAATATGCTATGTTGTCCTCCTTTACCAACAACACCATCCTATTATTACTCTTTAATTATATTCATGTCTTACTAATAAAGCTGACCTTTTCCACTGAACATCCAAGGCCACAAAACAGAGGAAGCCTTTGTAAACAATGTTGCCAAAAGCCATATTCCAAATACTGTTTTAAATGTCCTTTTCATTTGTTCAACAACTCTGTTTTTCTTTTTTCGCAACCATGACCTCGTTATTCGTCCTAGCTGAAAGCCTCTTTTGCCAATCATTATCTATACTTCAGTGCTTGAATACAAGCCCAGTGTTGGACCCATGCTGTACAAAAGATTATGATGCAGGCAATGATTCATCACCGTAATCTCGTTAAGATGTGGTCAGGGTTCAAGAAGATTATTGAGGACAAGGACTTTTGGAAAATCTTTCATTATCCAATTTCCACTCTTTCTTTCTCCTGATACAAAGTATATAATACTGAACTACAATATGACATTAGTTGAACATTGACATTGTGTTCAATCAATGTCTGGGATTTTGTCCCAGCTTATTCACACTGGTGAATACACACCCTCTGCCACAAACAAGTGAATCACACCAGAAAACAAGCACAGACAAACAAGCCTGTATCTGCTGTAAGACCTAACTGTAAGCAATAACAAAGCAGTTATAGCAATAATTGTGCAGTGTTTTGATTGATTGAATTGATTGATTGAAAAGTTTATTAACAGCTTGTATATTGGGTACAGTACAGTACAGCTCAAAACATACAATTGTTAAGGGGATGCAGACCAGAGAAAGACTTCCGTCTTGTTTACATCAGGGTCCCCCATGTATGGTGTGTGTGTGTGTGTGTGTGTGTGTGTGTGTGTGTGGCAAACAGTGTCCTGCGTCCAAGCTTCAAACCGTCTGTCGGAATGGATTGAGACACTTTGATGAGGACATGTTGAAAACATACCTCGTGTACACAGAGCAGATGTGCCAGAACTGCTTGAAGGCAAAGTAGACCTGTAGATGTCTTGATGATTTCTCAATCTTTTTTAATTATGTTTGTCATATGGATTTTCAGAAACGTATTAACAAAGGTTCTTTCATAAACAGAGCCAGAGGCCTGTGGCTCTTTGATTGTGACTGTCAGTTGTTGACAAGTTTATCGGAAAAGAAACAGGCTATTTCTGCTTTTAAGTTGATATGTGAGAATTGAAAATAATGTATGAGACACACCTTTTTCAAGTCCCATTACCATTAAGGTTTTTGTCCCAAAAAGCTGTTCGACAATAGAGAGGTTATGCTCTCAATCCAGCATGGATGATATTTATGTTTCAATTTCTTTTCCCTGTCTGTCATAGTCAGGTTCTTGACCTCCCACTCTCACCTCAACCACAGTGTGGCCTTGTTTTTTTCTGCTCAACACCTTTGCTGAAAGTTACCACTGAGGTTTGCAGATTTAAAAGTGTAAATACAAGGATAGCATTGACTTAATCATACAAAAATGACACTTTATTTGCCCGGAGGTAGTGTAGTTAGGACCAATATTCATCCCTGAATTGATCATTTGTAAATCAATTACTCACCTTGTGTTACCTTCTTGTTCTGAGCTTGTTTTTCTTGCATGCCTCCAAGGCAAACAAAGAATCCAAAATCCTGGAAGATGATTTATGAATTGAACATAAAAGAAAAAGTTTTAAAAAAGCAAAACTTTATCAAAAGATGTGATCACAAACTCTCACACAGTCTAATCCATGTCCTATTTGTCCAATCATATGCTCTCTTTCTATTTTTTTTCAAAATCCTTACCTTTTCAAACACTTAACTCGCATAAAGTGAAACTGAAAAGAGCGTTTATTTAATGGAGCCCCTTTTTATGTCAATTCATCCAAAATGTAGCAGTTTTTAGGATTCTTTGTTCATCTTGGAGCCATGCGAGTACAAGGTAAAAGGGGGTGGTTTATTGAAATATAAGTCACAACAAGTCCTTCAGTCTCCAAGCACTGCAAAGCAACAAACACACACAAAATGCTTCAGTTTCATATCACCCACAAATGCAAACCTATACACACATTTTCCACGCATTAAAGTTCAGCAGGAAACTGTCATCTACACGACACAGGGGGAACTGTTTCTGTGTTCTGCTTTTTGTTTGAGGTGTGCTATACTTTCAGGTCTATTTGACTTGTCTTGCATTTTAAGCCACAAATACGTGACCAAGAGAGGAAATGATGCAAATGTAGTAGTGCTTCACACAGATATGCACTTGTTTGAAGACATGCTGCTGCATCTTCCTTAATTCAATAAAGTGTATGCCATTACATCTCGTTTGGTGAGTTTTGTTTTAATTGTATTATTATTATTATCAACACAAAGCTGATGTGTGTTTTTCTGTCTTCCACTGTTTTTAGCTGTTTATGTTATCAGAATTTAGACTTTTTTTTTACTGTTTTGTGAAAATGACGACGCACCACGGTTTCCAGTTATTAAAATGTTTCCTAAAAAGGGAAGTTATGTTAAGTTGTAATCGACACAATAGGTTCTGCTTTGATAACATTTTAGTAAGGTGTTTTTCATAAGAACTACAAATGATTCAAACTGTTGAAGGCATGTGAGTATTGTTTAAAGACAACTGTTAACCTATCCTTTGATAAATTAATACGCTGAAAGCTGAAAAGATTAACCACTAAGAATAGTGTATTTACTCTACTTAACTAACATTATGTTTCCCTCTGACACAGAGAAACCTCTTACAGATAGGTATGGTTTGCAACATCACCAACACCACCGACACCACCAACTCTACTTGCAGGGTGGACACCCTTGAGGGTTTGGCTTACTGTCCTCTGTTTCTCCTGGGTTTCTTCCTCAACGCCGCTGCTCTGCGCGCCTTCTTTGCCAAACGGGAGTCCTGGACAGACACGCACATCTACATGCTCAACCTGGCTATAGCTGATTCTACCCTCATCCTCTTCCTTCCCTTTAGGATCTATAATGCCTTCATCTGCCTACCAGTGAATCACTTCTGTACTTTCCTTATTTCCACACATTACATCAACATGTATGCCAGCATTCTGACCACCACAGCCATCAGTGTTCAGCGCTACCTGGTTATACGTTTCCCACTGCAGGCCAGATCATGGCGGAAGAAGAAGGAGGTCGCTTTTGCAGTGTGTTTGATCCTTTGGGGACTTATTTTGACAATATCTGCTATATTTCATAAGGATAATCACCCAGAAAAACTCTGGACCTGTTATGAAAGGTGTAAAAATATCCACCTTAGTCCAGTGTTTATTGTCATTATGGTCGTTTGTGGCTACCTCGCTCCACTCTTGATTGTTGTCTTCTGTTCCAGTCGCATCATCTCTATTCTGCGAAAGGTAGATGACAAGTTTGAGGACAAGAAACGCACCATTGGGATAGTAACAGCAAATATGATTGTTTTCATTTTCTGCTACACGCCAATCCATGTTGGCTTTGTTGTCAACTACGAACCACCAGTAAATTGGCAGTTTGAAAGGTTACCTGTACATTTCTATTTACATGTAGCTGAATGGATCGCCTCCACCAACTGCTGTTTTGATTCTGTCAGCTATTCTTTTCTGCTGAAGAGATTCTTTTGCAAGTAAATGAGAGTACAACCATTTATTGGTCATTATTTTAATTTGCCTGTATATTGTGCCTTGGCTTAAGACTTGAACCGTGTTACGAACTGGAGGTGTGGGGTTTCAAATACGCTATTGAGAGGCATTATGGGAATTGTAGCAGAGAGCTTGAAACATATAGGGACTAAAGGTCAGAATATCTGAACCATTGCTGCTTTGTTTATGATATTTTGTTTAAATACTCCTGTGTCTCTTTTCCAAGTATTTAGAAGTGCAATATGACACACCGGAGTAATCGGCATTTCTCAACAACTTTTCATGATTTATTTTAATGAATTTTTTGACATTTATAATTGTTTTGGTTTATACAATTACGTGTAAAATGCAACATAATCTGTTAAATCTTGCTTGGCCCATATCGTCAAGTTTCTCTCTGTCTGTTTTGGGATATAAATACCTGTTATGTACCTGTGTGATGTTCTAAGCATTATATGAAATCAGAGAACAAGGGTTATTTTCATCTCTGCAGCAGACCTCTCTACAAACCTACCGTCTGTGTCTCAGCAGCACACTCAGATGATGTGAAGTCAATACAGAGGCACCCATGGGAGTTCAAGCCTTACATTGAATGAAGGCCAGTGTCCAGCTCCCTCTTGTGGCCCGAAAAGTAAATGCATGATAGATTGTATTTCTGCTCTGGAGTGTTGGTTGCTGTGAAGTTTAAAACTGCCCATCTCATTACAAATATGTCTCATTTATGGAAAATAGACTCGATATTGACACACACATTACTCGAGACAGCTGTGAGGTAATTGAACTGCTTTTGTTAATGTGTGTATATGCGTGGGAACCATATAATTATATACATTTATTTCAATGAGTGCATTCGGGAACCACACTTGACAACATTAGCAGTCAATTATATAATGCCATTTAATAGCAGTACTCCAAAGATCGATGGTTATTATAACAGCAGTATCTTAGCAACTGCAGAAAAACTCGGCAGGCATCAGTCAAATGAGAAGGCTCAGTTCTGGCTGAGATCAGGCCTGCGACTCTACTCTAATAACAGGAAACAGCTGAACTCAGCTGTCAGCCAAAGTCACGTAAATACTGTACATACATCTTATTCACAGCATTGTCACCAAAGGAAAAAAAAAACTCACACTTCAAACACATTCCTGTCTCAGAAGAGCAAGAACGATCCCTCCAAAACTGAAACACTATACCTTCAGGATGATTATTTACACTATTCACATTACAGAACAGCTCTGTATTCAAAATGCAAGAACAAAAAGAGAAAAGGTTTTTTGTGCTTTTCCTTATTACTGCACAGTATAATGATAAGAAACAACAAAATAATGAGTACATTCATTCACTCACGATTCTGACAAGTATTTTCAAGATCCTCCAGTATGGCAGTTGGTTGGGGATGACAGACAGACGATCACAGACTACAGACTAGACAAGACGTTCAGGATCAGGACAGATATGACACAAAATGAGATGCACAGTATTCCCTTACAGCAGTTCAGTCCATTTGAAGGTTTGCTTATGAACTAATTATATTACATGTTGGATTTGTTGTCCTAAAGACAACTCACGTTAGGGCATCAGTGAATGCATTACAGTATAATCATAAAGGGCATGACAAAGTGTCTGTTTTCCTGTGTACATATTTACAGTATAGTAAGTGAATGTAGTTTATAAACAGACCCTCAAACGCTGCTGTTAGCATTCAGTGTCAGTGGCATCAGGACAGACAGGGGGAACTGAAACAAATTATTTCAAGAGTACAAGCCCACATCTAAATAAAAAAATAATATATAACATTCAGCATGTAGTGGTAAAAGGCATACATATCACAAGTATACTGCAACAAGTGAGTTCTCCGACACCACTGAGGAGCACTGCTGACTGAAATGGTCATCATGGCACTTTAAAACAAGTTTTTTTTGCTTCAGTAATCAGGCATCGGTAAATCATTCGCGGTTTTGGCACAAAGATGTAAAAAATAGAAGAAAAAGACACTAGTAGTTTTCAGTGTCTTCAACCTTGAAGCCAGTTGATAGGAAAACAGATTATCATACATGAATAGCTATAGTGACATGATACATTTTAGTTTGCAAGCTAGTGCCTGATGACATTTTTACTTTTTGTCTTACATTATCATTTGTATCTAAATTAAAGTTTACTATGTACAGATAAACCATATATTGCTGCTGACAATAAGGTCAGCACAAACCAGAGTTCATTTGTTCACAACTGACTAAGCATGAGAATCATCTGGTCACTTGTAACACATTCTCGTTTTAATCAACAGTCTTTTCATCAAGTCGTACTTGTCTTTCACTTCTTTCTTCTTTATCTTGTCACTTTTGTATGACTTCCACCTCCTCGTGAACATACTTGCACCATGTTGTGATGCTCTAAACTCCGACCAGTTCATGGTTTCGGACACTTTGATGTGCTGAATATATAGTCCCATTTGCCTGCTGGGAACATTTCCATTACGCCTATTGGCTTTGCGTTAGGCCACAGGTTTCAATCATCTCCCCTGTAACTGTCCCTTTATTCTGTATCACGACTGTGGGACCTTGACCCACTGTGGGTTAAGGGGGTACTTTTAGCCACCCTACTGTGGTTTATAATTTCCCAATAATGAATGTGTTGGTGTATACCTGTATGTGTGTTTGTTTGAGTGTGAACAGTGAAGCACAAAGTGTTCATATATTGCATTGCATTCACTTTGAATCCTCCAACAACATCTCTGTTTCCTCCTTTCAGTCCAGCTCTGATTAAAGACAGTCCAGTGTTCGGGTTGCAATCTCCCCAGACGTCTTTGTGGAATTATTGGTCATTAAAGAGTACATGGAGTGTAAGGAGGCAAACGGATAGCGCGATGGACAGCTGAGATGCCGTCATTACAGAGAGCATGCAGTTGGCAGAAAAAGTGCTGACATTTCAGTCCTGCACTCTGCTCTCCAAAGAGTTATGGTCCCATATCGCTGTGAGACTGGTTAGAGGCATTTGGCACACACATCGTGCCTCTCGTACACATGGAGTACTAAATACCATCCCTCACCTGTACAAAAACATCTTGTGTGTGTGCAGCAAACAGGAGAGAGAAAAAGAAGGGATTTCCTCATCTCACTTTGTGTTTTGTTTCAGATCATTTACAAGGTTAAGATTTTGCTATTTCACTTGAAATACCTAGTTGGCAATCAGACAACAGGTAATGTAGTGAAGAACAGATGGGTGGCAGTCTAATGTTATCCAAGAGGGAAAACATCCCACTCCTGTAGCAGTATTTGACTGGCTCTGCAGACTCAGTTAATCTGCACAGAGAAGACAGCCTCTAAGTGCCATGTCCATCTTTGTCTCTGTCGTCTCGGCCCCCCGTTCTGCTTTCCACATTCCCTCCTCTCTTTCTTTACCCTCCATCCTCTCTCCTCTCTCATCCCGCTGCCGCTGAGTAGCAGGAGAGAGAGGCAACTCTGCAATGCAGACACAGCAACAACCTCAGTCCATCTGACCAATTAGTGTGAGCCCGGATATGAGTGGCAGACCCAGCAGCCAGTCATAAAGAGAGACTCATCATGGGGGTAAGGGAAGGAGGGGGTAGCCTATGGAACTGGCAGATCGGAGGGGGGGGGAATGACAAGTAAAGATGTAGGGAAAAGAGAAGGGAAGGGAGAGGGGAATGGACAGAATGAGGAGGAAAGGGTGAAAGAGAGATCTTGGTAAATAAAACAGAGAGTTATGGTCATGGAAAAGCTCTCTTTCCACTTTACTTCCTCGTGAGTCACTGGCCCGCCTGAGTCCTATCGCTGCAGTTCTTCTTACTCATGAACTGGCTGAGATCCACCAGCTCGCCCAGCTCCCCTCGTTCCAGGGCCCCTCGCAGCAGGGCCCTGCTCAGTGCGGGGGTGTGCTGCTGGGACATGTACGCCTGGCCACTGGGGGCGGGCATGGAGGGTGGGGGCAGGGAGACGGGCACCATGCCGTGGCTGCTCAGGATGTAACCTTCCGGGGCTTGCCAGCGCAATGGCATGGGCTCGCTGTACTCCACGGGGGCGCTGGGTGCTGACACCACCCTCCGACGCTCAGGCGAGTCCTGGGGGGTCATGGGGTACACATATTCTCCTGCAGACTTCCTGAGGGGGGCTTTGGGCGTCCCCTTCATTCCTTTTTCCTGCTTGCTCAGGCAGACATAGTGTTGGCGTGGTGCGTCAATCCCACGGACCTCACCATTGTGTCTCCCGCCTCCCCCCTGCTGGAAGAGTCTGGTGGTCAGGTAGACGGAGGGGGGGATACGGCAGGGGGAACCCAGCCCCACGGAGCCTCCGCCCAGGTACGTCTGGCTGGTGTCCCACCCTCCAGAGTTGGAGTCAGACAGTCGTAGGCCTCTGCGTTTCTGCTGAGGCGTGTGCTCCGGGGTGGGCAGGAAACCCGGGTCAAGCTCTCCTGACTTTACCCAGCCGTTGGGCATGACAAACAGGGTTTCCCCGCCCTGAGTGCAGGGGCGATCCCCGCCTCCCTGCCGCGTCACGCTGAGCACAGAGCCTCCCATCCCGCTGCCATTAGTCAGCAGGCCTCTTTCACGCCGTTGGATAGAGGACTGGGAGGTGTTGCCGTGGCGACGGTTGGCGGGCTTGTGGGCCATGATCCAGCAGACGGCGAGACCGGAAAGGGCCGCCCCGATGGTGAACGCTGAGACTGCAGACGCCACAAGTAGGTTGAGCGAGACCAAGCTCTCTGGTTCAATCAGCAAACTCTGCTGCAGAATTCCTGAAGAGACACAATAAAGAGGACAAAATTAAGAACAACGTCCTCTCTCAATGTCCAGATTATCATTAATATTACATAAGTATAGTGCTCTGTTACTTGTACTTAGTGCTTTTCCCATCACAAGATGTATTATGTCATGATAAATCAATAACTGCAATAACACCAGGGTTCGAGTTATGTGGGAGCCAATGGGAGCTGAGCTCCCATAAGGAGGGGTCTGAGCTCCTATGAAAGCAGTGAAATCATACATCTGTGGGGGTCGCTAATACATTACCAACAACCATTATTTTAATCACAAATAATGCATGTTTCAATGTAAAGAGTATTATTTACATTAACGAGGTAAATAGGCTAAAAGAAAAAAAAAATTCCAAAAGAACTACGCATCGTATTCTCACTTGAATGATAATATGCCTGCACTTCACCTCCAAGGTGTGCAATCAATTATTGCGCAATCTATGCGCGTGTGTGCGCGTGCATGTTTTAAAGACCCCCATAAAGCTCAGATTATAACTCGAAACTTGAATAACACTGATCGTTGCTAATGATGACGTTTAGCATACGGACGATTGTGTTTAAACTGAGCTTCTCTCCAGTCTGGCCTTGGGGCTCCGCAGGCTCCATGTTCAGAGAGGCCTGCACTTGTCATCAGCACAGCTCAGACCACAGCAGCTGACTCTCTTTTTTCTCTTCTATCCTCTCCTCACACTTTCCATCCTGCAGCCCGGCCAGTTTGTGTCTCCATGCAGACAGCATAGCATTACTTCAGTGTTTCCACCCAGCTTTAATCACTCCCATCTGCAGACACAGCAGCACATGCCTGGCCCTGGCTCGGCCTCTGCTGCGCTTTCACTGCTCCGATTAAAGTCTGTCAGGTCTGCAGCCTGGCATCACTGACTTTCTCTGCTATCACTTTTTGAGTGCAGGGTAATATTAGTGGCCAATATATCAGTTTTAAAAAATGAGTGTGAGAAGGGCTTAGATTTATATTTCTGTTTGGAAATTCAGATCTGACTGAGTAAATGTTATGACTTTGAAACTGGCCTGAAGCAATTCAGGAGGAATCTGCTGGAGAGGAAGTGACTTTTTTTTGGTTTCCACTGACTTTGTACATTTCAGAGCAAGGTTGAAAGAGGCCCTCTCTGGTGCTGCTGCAGTGACATCTGAGCCTCTCTACAGAAGTGACATCAGTGTTTTATACTAAGCTATTTCCAGCTTGCTCACCGGCTACCCTCGGTCGTTCCTCCCTCAGATGTTCAGCTTTGAGAGAACAAAGCGTAGTGACCAGGAGCAAGTTGCACTTCCCATCCTGCAGTCTAATGCTTTTTTCTAGCAGTAGTTAGACCTCTCACATCCTCTCTAATCAAACTGTCTCACACTGGGAGCGTTTCGATCTGTAGGGAGTGAGTTTGAAAACAAAATCCTAGTTCCACTCCCCGCTCATTCAGCTCATGTATGAAAAAAAACAAAAACTGAAAAACAATTGCTAATATTAAGGTTAAGAGGATGAGCTGGGAAGGAAATCACATTATACTAAATACTTATATTACATATACTGAATAGACAGATATTGTCAATCTCAGATTATCTCTCTATTGGTGGTATCAGAGGTGTTTTTTCAGGACAAACTGTTCAGTGACAACTAAGCAGGTGTAATGAGGGATTGAGCCACTAGGCGGAGTCTGCCCATAGTCCGCTGCACACAGCCACAAGCATCCATGACATTTTGCTGCAACCTACCATCACAGTCTCCTAGATGGGAGGTGGTGTTCCCATATTCCACATCTTGTTGAAAAGGCAGCCTGCAGTGACACAGAGATCAGCAGACACTTCAATACATCTCTTCATATACAAACAGCATAAAGTGTGTTTTTGAGTGCCATTAAATCATAGTTGTGTGATCTGATCGAATGATGTTCTAACATAATAAAAATAAATGAACCTTTTTGAGAAAAACGTGTTAATGTAAAATTGTCGTTTTAAATGAACATTTGCATAGAAATGGTACATTAATGAGGACATTGGTTGATGGTAATCAATCAATTTGATATGGCACAAATTGGTGTGTTGTTCAGTGTAATGGGATACTCTATTGATCCCATTATTGATTTCCCTCACAGAGGTAAGAGGTCAGGGTCAGACAGAGCTGAAGAGGATGGGCTTTGGAACTGACAGCGATACTGGGTATAACGTTTCACTTCGGTACCAATCAATCCTTATATTGTTTTATAGGAATATTTAGTTGAAAGAGGTAAGGATAATATTTATTTATTATTATTTTCAGACTATTATTATCAATGAATATACAGGTTGAAATTGTATACTAAAAGCTAGCTAATACTGTATATGCTAGTACATATTCAACTACATTTAAAACATAAAAAGTAGAAGTAAAAATAAATAGCGCAATTTAATGCTTTACTTAAAAACTATATTTTTTACTAGAGTAGAGTAGATTCTGTGTAGCGGATTATTTTAAGTAACTTATGACCATTTGCCATTTGAGTGTGTTTGAGTTTGTAATAGTTCATATGTTCATGACATACAACATTTATTTACTTTATTTATTCATCATTGTGTTCCTTTGCCCACCTATTTGATTTCAATTACTTGGTAACACGTATCTTAAACTATTTCTAATCCTTTTCTGTTTTTTTGACATGTTTTAGTATGGGCATAATTGTCTTTTGCATAGTGAAATGAACACATATTTAAAGATGTTCTTGCACACACAGTGTCATGAATCATTGTCTATTAAACTGCATGAACATTTGAGCCATTGTTTTTATTTAACATATCAATATTTCATGATAAAGTGAAATAGCATACTTCTTCAACTTCACCTTACTTACCAGCCCTTCCTGTGTACAACATAGCCTAAAGGAATGTGGTAACTTTGCCAATAAAACTGTCTCTGAGTATAATAACCTCTCCTTACATTGCAGGCAGCAGGTCTGCAGCGGTAGGAGACAGTTTACAGGTTGGTGTGTGGGGTGTGTGTGTTTGTTTGTGTGTGTGTGTGTGTTGTCCTCACCGTGTGCCTGGTCTCAGGAAGGAGCAGGTGCTGCCTCTGGTCCAGCCACAGTATGGGTCCCTGGAGGCTAGACAACTCCTGCACACCAATAAAAAAGGAAAAAGTTAAGAAATGCAAAGGAATGACCTGATTCTCATAGCGGACATTTTTATAGCAGGGAACTCTCCCTGGGAAACTTACAGAACCTAGGGACAAGTGTTACAGCTATGAATTAAGCAGGGACGTTAGCTTGCTTATTGTTTATCTGGCTAACAAGTTAATAAGTTAGGTTTAGTGGGCTAATAAAACCATACAATGTAGAAAACTGTATATGATTTGAAATCCTCATGTGGTATTCATCTTCACACACAGCAGTCACACATATGGAGTTGCTTCTTGTTCTCGGTTTCCTGAACCCAACTGTGTTGAATGGCTGCTGTGGGACTCAGGTTCATAGTGTGGGGTTCTACTTCAAAAGATCTTCACCATCTGTTCAGTAATAAACAAATGCCGTCTTGGTATTTATAATATATCATCCATTTTATTACAAACTTAGAAGAGGATGGTCTTGAATCTGCTTGTGTTAAATCGTATTTTTCAGGGAAAGAATTCTCCCAAAATAGAGAAAATACCTGTAGTTTAACAAAAACACCTCATCTATCGCTTGCTGATTGAAGCATTAGCAGAATTGCATTGCATTTTATTAGGAGAACTGCGCTAATAGGGAGTGAGAGCACAAGGACAAAAACTAAAGTTGGCAAGTCAGTCGTACCTTGGATAATGGCCACTGCCACATTTATACTGACCTCATTATCATACAAAGAAACATTAAGGAAATTATATAAACTCTCCGAGGCAAAAACAATTACTTCATGCAGCGTGAGTGCAGGTGGCAGCGAGAGGTGGGCATCCGGACCAGACAGGCGGGGAAGGCCAGCAGCAGAGTGTGACTGCTCCAGTCCAACGACAGAGACAAGAGCTGCCGAGCCTGAGGAGTGTCCTCACCACACCTGAGACAGAGAGAGAGACAATGGTGAAGACTGGAGGGTGAGGAGCCAGCAGAGGAAGGGGTTCGTTGGGTCCGAAAAGTTACAAGTGAAGGTAATCTTGGGAATTTTGGAATGTTTGCACAATTTCAATTAAAAAACAACCTTATAATTTAACAACAGAGTGAATATATGTAACATTTCTTATGGTATGTTGTTAAACCACTAGATGCCAAAGCATAGTGCACAGTTTACAACCTGTTAACGACTTCTGCTAGTTTTTACTAGCTAGCTATTACATTGTGTGTCAATGTATGTCTCAAATCATGTTGTGACAGGGTCAAAGGCCTCATCTGTTTGCACTTCAAGTCAGACAGAATCCATATTTTTCAGCCACCATTTTTTGACAGTCAGGTCTTACACAGTAACACACATGAAAATAATTACATTTAAGTTGTATTTTACTCTGCTGCTGCTAAAAACATCAAAATAATTTGTATATATCATGATAAATACAACAACAAACAGTCAAAAAGTACTGAGATGTTGACTTGATCAATCACTTAGTCAGAATTTCTAATAGTATTTATCATTTTAAACCAAAACACCACACATTATCTTGTTGAGCTTCACAAATGTGCACCTCTTATGCTTCTCTTTTTTGATTTGATTTTGACTGTTACTGTTGTTGATGTATTTTAAGACAATTTTAATGACAAAATTATTTTTGTATTAATTAGGTGAACAATTTGAAGGAATGTAAGTTGCAAACCTGATATCAAAGTGTGTAAATATGAATGTGCTATTACTGTAATAGATACAGTAAAGTCAAGTTAATACCGGTAAGTAGTAGTCTTTTACTTGGCTAAAGAGGATGTTTGTGCACACTTTAAATAAGTTCACTTGAGCAAGCGTGCATATTAGTAAAGCACACATGGGATTGACTTTAGCATATGTGCAGGTTTAAACCTTTTTTTGTCCATGTCACCTCCAGGGCTCCGTTGTCTCTGCTGCTCTACAGTTGTCAGATAATGGCAGGCAACATGAGCCATGATCTACCTGGAGCAACTTGTCAAAATGTATAACTTTATGGAGATCAAGGACAAAGACTCCACTCCTACTCACTTCTCTGGGTTGAATCCTTCCACCTCCTCCAGAAACACACTGCGGTGGGAAACAGGCTCTCCGGTGGGAATCATTAGAAACTTCAGGACGGTTCCCCGGGTTGAGCCCAGGAACAAGACGGTACAGTTCTTATGGGGGCCAGCTTCAGTGTCCACCACCATGGTTGTCAGCTGGTACCTAGAGATACAGAGTGAAGACTTGTTTTTTTTCAATCAATAGTAAACATTTCCTATCCCTATGATGCATATAGTCAGGTTTACATTTCCGTTTTTCAGGCAATAAAAAGTTCCTCTATACATGGATGAATTATTGTCCTAGCCCAGGAGCCTCCACATGCAAATACATATTAAACAGACAGGTACCAACCACAAAAAGATGCAAAACAACCACAAAGAAACAAAAAACAACTACAAAGAGACATAAAGAAACTGCAGAGAGGTACAAAATAACCACAACAACATCTTTGTCTACATCAAAGACACAACATGAGACTAAAGACCACACACAAACTGAACAAAAAGACACAAAACAAAATGTCTCCGCTGGTGCCATCAAATAACAAGTCAGTGTTCGTACCGTCCCATAGTCTTGACAACCCAGGGTCTGTGCCCCATTAGTGGGACGGTCTCGTCCATCAGTGGATGGGTCTTCACAAAGTTCAGCACCTCATCCGGCAGTGTGTTGGAGGAGCTAAATCTAGATCCCTGCACCGCACATCCGCCTGGCCTGCAAGAAGAGAGAAAGACAGAAAATAGAGAGTTCAGGGGTAGAAAAATAGGAAAGACAGCATAAGGAGGCAGAGAGAGCAAGAAGAAAAAAGCCTGAGGAGTTTTTGTTTTGCGGCTTATGGAGGCTATATTAGAATATTTGCTGAGTGGTAGTGAAGTTTCCGTGTGATTGACAGTTTGAGCTTATAGCAGGGGAGTCAGTAGACATTATATGTGAGACAGATGCTCAGTAAAGCAGCAATGCAGTATTTTTCCCTAGATCAGCTCACATACACTTTGCATAACAATACCTTGGTTTAGGCACCGCTTCGTCCGGCACAGGAGTCCAAATAGACTCTGGGGATTTCTGCTCTTTAAAGCGGCCATCAAAAACATGAGCGAGCTGCTGCATGTCAAACACACACACCGCAGAGCCTGGGATGCTACCATAGAAAAACGAAAAACAAGACAGTGGTGAGAAAAACAGTGTTTGTGCTAGTTTGTGTTCACATTGTGTGCATCTCGCTACCTGTTTGGTGGAGTGGAGAAGAGACCCAGGACGACGTCTCGTCCCTGCATGCGGATGATGTTGCTCGTGGCGTGCAAGAGGTTGAAGTAAAAGTGTGAATCTCCTGGGACCGAGCAGTTTAGACGCGCTTTCAAAAAGGTGGTCCACTGTTTCTCGAGGACCCGCTGAGAGCCGCCCAGATCTGCCTTACACACACGAGCTACACGGGACACCATCACCTGGAATACAACAAGCATGGATAAGTAAAATGAAAGAAAGAGAGAAAGAAAGAAAGAAAGAAAGAAAGCACCTTCTCTAAATGATGAAACTCCATTGCCATCTCTCTGAAGAAGAAGTAAATATGAGGCCCCCACTCCATGGAGCTGACAAAGTAGGGCTCTGAAAATAATATGAGAAAAACAGAGTCAGACAAACACACTTACATACATACAGAGCAGTAGTGATGCAGTGCCGGGGGGCTAAAGCAGCGCTCCGCAGTCCCTGACATGAAGCTGTAATAACACTAACATCAACACGCTGTCCAAGGGCCTCGCTCATCCAATATTTATGTCCTGTTTAATTTATCATCATGGACAAGAGGATACACATTATTTATCATTTATTCATCCAGCACTGTTGCAGCTTTGACCTGCCTCGGCTTGTTTGTGTTCTCTATGGAAAACAGACTTAGCTGTTCAATCTACGGCTTGTTTAAACCGTAGGGTCCAACTAACCTCAATACATCACTCTGTCTAAGCCTGTGCCACTTATTATGAATAAATGAAATCAGATGGTTTCAGTAGTTTATTATTGTGCTTCACCACCTCATGAAAAGACAGCCACAACAATGATTTCATTTACTGGGAGTAAACTAAGATAATGGTTTCTGTTATCTGCTTCCTGATTGTCTATTGAAGGTGCCTGACTAAGGAGAGCCATTTTAATGCGTGTGAAAAGTACCTCTGAACCATTTGGAGTCGTGTTTGACTGTGCGGAGGGCGGGGCTGTCACTGAGGCTACGATAGATCACCGCATCGATGGCCAGGAAGTCTGTCACAGTGCCGGTAAAAAGACTCCCATCTGAGAGCAGGAGAGACGCACAGAGAGAGGAAAGAAGGAGATTAAGAAGAAGAAGAAGAAGAAGAAGAAGAAGAAGAAGGAAGATACAGATGGAGAGATAGCACAAGGTCAGGAAGATTAAAACCAAACAAGCAATGCTGCGAGAGGTCTGACTATAAATCTTTTGTAAAGCTAAACACAAGGGCACAGCCGTTTCATTGTCTGGAGCTGAAAATTGAGTCTGATGTCTGCTAGAAACACAGAATTCTTTATTTTAAGTGTGCAAACATAAGATTTTACCTGCAAATAAAGCCACATTGGCATGTCGTGGATCATATGGGCATCGTGCCATCCCACTGACAGGCTCTCCCACCATTTCTAGAGTGTCTTTCTGCAAAAGAAACAACAATGGTATAGATAAACGAACTGGCAAGCACACAGAGAATGACCAGCTGACAGATAGATGGATACTAACAGTGTAGTTGGCGCACAGCGGGTTGAAGGCGTTTGTTCCACATACAAACAGGCCACCATGCTGTCTGAGCAAAACCTTGATGAAATTACGACACTCTCCCTATAGACAAAGACACAAAAGGACACGATTAAAGAGGAGAAGAACATCACAGGGTACAGGGCGACTTTGTTGAACCAAAAACTTGCTGTTCGAGCAAGGAGGCTGCAAGTGTGAAGCAAAAAGAAAAACAAAGCTTAAAACAATCCTTCACACCCTCAACCATCTGGAGGACCAAGGACGGGGACTTTATAGCTGTCTTCAAAGTGGAGGCTGCTGATTGAGCTGAGATTTAAAGCCGTTTCCACCATATCTGAAACCTGATCACACAGGTCAGCCCCTCCAACCCAACCTGGCCCCTCTGCCCTTTTTCTGATTCTACAACAAATCATGGTGACATGAATTTGCAAAGACCATAATTGATGGTTCTTTAATAAACCTGTGAAGTTTAATGATTGTATTTGGATTATCAGTGGCTTTGTTCAGCGCCCATTATTGGTTTTGAATGTTGCTAGCTAGCTACTAGCTTAAAGCATGCGCTGACAAAGTTAGCATTTGTTGTAGGATATTTTAGTTACTACTCGAGTGGTTTGTTTAATCCAGCAACGTATGAAATAAACAGATTGTCTTGTAACATATTATTAATTAGAGTTAGAGAGGATTTGTTAACTTTGGTGACAGCTCAGCTAGCTGTTTCACCCTGTTTTCAGTCTAAGTTAGGCTAACGAGCTGCTGGCTCCAACATAATTATATTCGATGTGTCTTCTATCGGTCATCTTGGTCTAGGCAAAAAAGTGAATAAGCATATTTCCCATTACATTATCCAGTATTGATTAATCACTTCCGTATGTGCATTTCCTGCTATGCTTAATTAAGAAAGCCTATGAAAAGAGTATACAGAAATTACTCTAAGTATCAATAGAAGAGCTACTTACCAATATCATTAGGCGAAACAGTTCTGCTTGCTTATTTGAAAATAACTAACACTGTTTAGCCTCTGCAATTCAAACACATACTGTATACTACAGTTGATAAGCGTTTGTGTAACTCAATGCCAGGAGCACCTTGTGGTTGGCATTTGGCAAATTATATTTTGATGTTAAAATAAAGCTGCTTCTGATGTTAGAGCTGAGATGACCAGCTGCTGGCTCCAGCTAAATATTTACCATACAGATGTGAGAGTGGTATCGATCTTCAAAAATATTACTCTTGGCAAGAAAGCATATGAGTGTATTTTCCAAAATATATTCCTTCAACAACTTAAATACATTCAGGTGTTGCAGTTCAGGTATTGCTGGCTTACTGGCACCCTTATATATAATGGAGCCATCGCAAATGTTATTAGTTTCACCTGCGCTTTCCCTGCTGTGACATTTAGCTGTGAAATATGTCTATTTTTGGACTGTCACAAGTTTCACTGCACACTTACCTATTAGATGCTTTAACATATTAAAGCTTTAGGTCTATAACTGTAGCGCATGCCAGATAGTTCACAATTGCACCATTTATTCTGAACAATTTGATGACTTCATCCAAGTTTGCAAGCTTTCGTTTCACCGTACAGTCTTTTATCCTCTTCCTGTTATTCTCTCCACCTCTCCACCTAGGGCATGTCTTTCTCTCCCTTTTATCAAAGTGATTTCATTTTTTCTTTTTGTTCTTCTTTCATTTGTGTTCTTTGAAGCAGCACATCTTTTCCCTTTGTAGTTTCTTCACCTCTTTCTAGTACCTGGTGGCTGCACCTTCACATCACATCCTTATAGACACCTCCCTTTCTCAACTAATTTCAATTACCGTTTCCTCCCAGAGGCTGTGTCACTCTCTCTGCTTGGTTTGCTTTTTAATGTTTCCTCCTGCCTCTCTTTCCGTGAGTTACGCTCAGATTGGATTTTGCTGGTAGAACTCCTACATCTATTCAATTAAACTTAAAATGTATGTAACAACCATCAAATCTTTCTCTTCACATTGGTCAACGATTACTTTGTTAACCCTAAACCTACACACAAATGTAATTGTCCGACTCTCTTGTCTTTTCTGAATGACAGATGGATACCTTTCGGCCTTGGTAACGTTTCACTGAGCCAGTGTGATTCGGTGATGCACTGATTCTGTATCAACAAGATCAAATTTGTGTAAATACCATATGCAGGTGCACCCCAAGGAAATAAGGTTCCTCTAACAGCTGTTGTGTCTGTCCAAGCGTGTGATACTGTAGATAGTGTTGATGCATGAGAATGGATCTCAAAGTCAGAGCATTTTGCCTGAGCACCTTACCTCATGTTTGCCCTTCATCCGGCACACTCGAATGTCGTTCTTATTGGATTCCCATGTCCTTTTCTGAAGAAAAAAACCCCCATTTAGAATACATTTGAAATCTGTGTGTGTGGGTATCATCAGTTTTGATATGTGTGTGTACAAGACAATGGGACTAACCTTGCTGTAAAACATCTCATCACCTGCCATGTTATCCAGCTCCACTCTGTACAGGTCATCTCTACAAAACAGACAACGAATCAGTGCTGATGCAATACTATAGGATAGAAAATAAACAATGTGTATTTTCAGCACTGTTTCACAATGGGCTAATTTTCTTTCTTATAATGTTCAAATTGAGATGCACACGGCAGAGAGTGTGGAACCTGCACAAACGGCATTTTAATTAGGAAAACTTGGGAACCTTGTACCATTTTGCATCCTAACAATACAATAAAATAGATTAGGGGTTTGCTTTTGCCTTGTGGTCCACACCTACGTTTTAGTTATGGCTCTCCAAGGGGAAAAGTGTATTTTATTAATTGATTCAGAAACAAAATGAAAACATTCTTGTTTTCAGATTGTATATGATGGCCTTTATACTTCTCCCATCAGTAAGTAAGGGTTTACAGAGTTACAGCAGCCAGGGTTATTACTTATTTGTCAAAGATAATTAGTATTGCATGAATGATCTATGTTGCTCATAACAGTGGCCTGCTTCGTTTATGGTTTAATAAAAGTACTGCTGTTGTTTTTCTCTTAGTAAACATTTTTGCCACCTGTTTTTTGTGTTTTTTTTCGTGACTCAAATCTGTTCTAAGATATTTAATTAAAACTGTGTGAAATTGTGAAATGTTTCATTTGCATGAGGTAGAATATATAATTTATTTGTGTTATTCATTTTGTAAATTTTTTTATTTATTTTTCCTTCTGCTGTTTACTATTTCCCATACATCGAGTATAAGACTAATGTGAACGAACAGCTTTCACTTGACATTTCACAACATGATTGAATGCCTCTGCGCCACAACAAGCTGAAAATATTTTCTACAGAGTGACAGCAGATGGGAGCTGTGGCATTAAATAAAAGCGAAAGGATATTAATGCAGGCACGTCAGTAACACACAGTTGGAGGCGGTTGCCGTTGGTTACCTGGCTCCTATGTACAGCGTGCGGTTGACTTGGAGGACCGTCTGGATGTGCAGCTCCTGTCTCTGAGCTGAACGATGCGGTCTGCCCAAAAACACTGGATACCTCCGCACAACTGACACATGTAAAGGAGGAAAAAACATACAAAAAAAGAAATGAAGTGCCAAGAATGCATTGACAGTTAAGGACAGAGCGAGTACTTTTACCATCTATATTTACCCTTAACACTTTTCTACCCTTCACTTTAATAGTGCCTTCACTCATTCTTGATCCTTTGTTGAGGCAAACAAAGATAATATGGAGGAGACGAATGGCGCAGCAGTTAAAGTACACTGAAACACTTTAATCCTCTTAGTGTTTTTCTTTGCTTTTGGTGATGCATGCAGCTCCATAATGAGAAAAACTGTGTGGAACCATTATTGTAATTTTATGGTAAAAAAAAGGCACTCTCTCACCCTCCTCCCTACATTTCAGATAAGTGGGGGAGAACAGATGAGGTGGAGAGAGAAAGCGGCAGTTTCAGAGTACGAGAAAGTTGCGAAGAGGAGGACGACGGTCTCCACAGGGAGCCCTCATCATCAGGCGACAGATTGGGACAACGTCTCATTGTCCTTGACTGTAGGGGAGGGAGAGAGGAGCTCATAGCGATCCATCTCCACCCGTCTCCTCCCCTTCTCTCTACCACCTCTCAGCCTTCTCCTGTCATTTGTATCACCCCATCCAATCCAATTGTCTTTCACTTTTTCATCTCCCTGCACCTCTCAAAATCCATAACAATCATTTCTCTCCCCTTTTCTTTCTGTCTTTACATCTCTCTGTCCCCCTGATATTTATCAGTCTACTATACTGCTATTGAGAGACAGACTCTTCTCATTCATCTGTATGCCCGGGCAGTTAGAGAGCAGCTCCACACCAAAGCTTTGACCCTTGACCCGGTATTTCCGCGAAGTCATTTATCATCAATGGTGCTCATACAGTCGCACAGTCAGACACACACACACACACACACACACACACACACACACACACACACACACACACACACACACACACACACACACACACACACACACACACACACACACACACACACACACACACACACACACACACACACAGCAGGAAGGAAGCATACCCTCTATGGGGACGTAGCTGAGAGGACTGGGTTCCTCTGGGAACGAGGCGTCCGCCAGTTGAAGCAGCAGGAGAAGAAATGTGAGGGGAGGGGCCACAGTCGCCATGGCAGCAACACACATGAACTGAAAAAGAGATGGGAGAGAAAATGTCATTGTTGTGTACGCTTTATGTTTTCAGTGTGTGCATGTGCGAGAGTGTACGTGAGAGTGTGAGTGACATTATGACATTATGATTTATTATCAATAAAGTGTGTGTGTGTGTGTGTGTGTGTGTGTGTGTGTGTGTGTGTGTGTGTGTGTGTGTGTGTGTGCGTGTGTGTGTGTGTTTGCGAGGACCGGGTCAGAAGTGCAGCAGGGTGACTGCTGCCACCAAACTTGCTGCAGCGGGAAGCTTGTGCGTTTCTATTGTCTGCTCTTTGGTGTAATGGTGATCCATTCTTGGAAATGTCAATCCATTGTCAAGCTGTTTGAATTGAAGGGGATTCTCACAGTCATATAACACTTCAAGAGACAGAACAGTCACGTGATTACAAAGCCACTTTTGGTGGTAATGTTCCTTTCTCTAATTGTGTTTCTGTATGGACATATTACTGGTGATTTGCGACAGTTGTCTTTATAGAGAGTGAAGTATAAGAAGAGGTGAAGGGAGTGACTCGGGTAAGCTGGACAATGTCTTTCTAAAGGTCAAAAGTCAAGAATGCTCTAAATCATGAACAAGGAGAAGGGGAGTCTTTATAAAGTTCATAGGCCACAAAAGGTTCACACTGTGCAAGATATGACCACACACAGTAAAACAAGTGCAACGCTAGCATTTCAGCACACTGTGGGTTGCGGGTGCTAGTGGAGCCTCTTAGATGGGGGTGCTGCAGCCCCCTCAGCATCCCCCCCTTCCCGCGTCCATTCGCGATGTCTCGCTGTCTCGCAGACCCCACGCAGCAAGCAGGAAGCCGCGCAACGTCCCGCCAACACGGCACCCAGACCCCACGCAGCATTCTCATCTGTTTGTCCTTACTGGTGTCATTTTCTGGTTGCTAACGCCATTGTAACACATAATCACTGATGTTCCGCTGTAACGGTGGTAGACCATAGTGGTAGACTCATCAGAACAGAGTGGGCGAGCTGACCAATCAGAGCACAGTGGGCTCACAGGGAGGGGGGGGGGGGGCAGGAGCTCCAACAAGCCGTTTAGGACAGAGAGTGAATACACATACTATATAGAGATGCTGTATGAGAAACCAATGTGAGTTTGGAAAATTGCACAATATAAATATATTCTAGTAAACCTCAACAATGGAATTATGATCAGTAGAAATGGCCATGACATGGGACCTTTAAGTAAGCAAAAGTTAATATTTTATGAGTAGGATTGTTTTTACTTGCATCCAAAATTCACAGATATGGAAACAGCTTAAAGAATCCCTGCACTGGGAATTATGAAAGATTCAGATTTGGTGTGATGTCGTGAATTGACTTGGCTTACACGCAATCATTTTTCACATTTGACCTGTAATCAAGTGTATTAGCAGTCTGTTATTTGCTTTAAAACACAATGGATGTCTGTGGCTGAGATAATGTTATTTCCTGTCTAGGTATTTGGTCATTAACAAAAGCCAAGAAATTGCGTCTGTAAGATTCATCCAGTGGGGACTTTGAATATCTTTACACATTTTAATGGCAATAAATAAAATAAGTCCACAAATATTTTTTAGTTGTGACGAAAGTGGTGGATCAACTTGGCAAACAGACACACAAACATGCTGCTAGCCTGGCAAAAAAACGACAACATAGAGGGGTAACAAATATGCTTTGCAGCCTCTCTTTCACCTATAAAACCAAGACAGTAGAATAACACCGCTGCACATAAGTTACTACCAGTAAAAAATGGTAGAAGCCATGCCATCAATCACATTAAATGTGGATGTTCTCTTTGTATTTCCTAAAAAAGCCTGTGGCTGATCTGCACAGTCTTTGATGTAAGAATACTTTGGAAAAAGAAGAGGATGTACAAAGAGAAGGAAAGAAAAGACAAATGAGCAGAACAACAAGGGGGGAGCTCTGAGGATTTTGTCTTGGGTTGCTGAGAGTGCTGTTTAAATCCTGGAAAATGTTTGATTGAACACAAATGAAAAAAGGTTGAAAAAAGCAAAAGATGTGAAAAATATAAATGCTGTTCCCATCGAATCAACCTGAATACAGTGTTCCATGTTTCCCCCAACCCCCGCTTATTTCCTTTCATCCTCAGCCTTTCTCCCTCCATCACCCACCTCCGCCCTTCATTTCTCTTTCTTTATACCTCGCAGCTTGTCTGTTCCAGGATGAAAACCCCACGACTGTTGTCAAAGATAGAACAGATAGAAAGGTAGATGTGCCAGTTGCTAAGGTGATGACAACTGCTATTTGAAGCACACAGTTGCATCCAGATGTAACACGCACATATAAATAAGCATGATTACCTGTGTTTCCAACACTTCAGATTGTGCATGTGTGATTGACAGCAGTTTGAGGACAGCAGTAAGGCAATGTGGGGTTGCATACAATACACTGGGGGCCTCTTCCAATGAAATTCTAGCCCAGAGATTGCAGATTTGACATCTCTAAGCCTTCTCCTCATCAGCAGCAGCGGAGGAGCCCTGAGGGGGCTGGGAGGCTTGTTTCATCTAAATCTCCATTGGGATTCCCTGAACTAGAACTGATTGAGTCAGGTGTAGGGTCAGACTCATTTCATTATGGCCATTTTATGAGAGAATCAAAATGTGATGCTTTAAATCAAATCAAATCAAATCAAATCAGGTTTTATTTATAAAGCACATTTAAAAGCGATTTTTGGTCGAGCCAAAGCGCTGTACATGTAATAAAAACACATTACTACAAAACACAATAAACGACAATAAATTACAACAGATATATCTTAAAAAACAAAATAAGAATAAAACACACGGAATAGTCAGGAGTCATGCTCCGCTCTAACTAGAAAGCCAGAGAGAAGAAGTGTGTTTTTAGTTTTGATTTAAACACAAAATGAAATTGTTTTTTCTTGTATGGACTCTTAGAAACGATTAAATGAAATGGAGTGTGTTTTCCAGTGAGATTAGGCATCATGTGGTTGTTGCTTGCGTCAAAACCACAATTTATTTTCAAAATCAAAGTTGAACGTGCAGACATGGTATAAATATTAAAGATTCAGTGGGACTTCATCTGTCTAAGAATCTGATTATCTCTGACTAACGCCTACAAATGTAAATGTATGCACACACACGCACGCACGCACGCACGCACGCACGCACGCACGCACGCACGCACGCACGCACGCACGCACGCACACACACACACACACACACACACACACACACACACACACACACACACACACACACACACACCACACACACACACACACACACACACCACACACACACATTTAAATGGTGCTCTTCATTTATTAAAATGTTAAGAAAATATAGATTATGAAAATGCTGTGGGAGTTACAGCCAAGTACAAAGACAAATATTATATTAGAATTGTCAAAATGCAAAACAATTCAAATGTTGCACTACAAACATTACTTGTACACAGAATAGCACATCAACAATGTTCTGTTGGTTCATATACAGATATGTGTGAGTTAAAAAACCTTCTGTCATACAGACAAAACAATCTCCGTATGTCAGAGATTGTTGTCCAAAATAATTGTTTGGTTCATCTCTGTGTAAGATGTATTACAGTATGTACAGTGAGCCAATTGTAACATGACATTGGTATCACATGGTATCTGTGTCATTAGTGATCAAGAGTCTTAGTTGTTGCGAGCTAGTGTTGGTCAGTGTGGACACATCTGAAAATGTTTGATGACAACCACTCCGGTACAAATCCCAAGTGTTTAGGAACAAAAGAAGGAGCAAGCCCCGAAAGATAATAGTTTGGAGGGCTGAACAAGCTATGGCAAGGTGACCACTATTCTAGCCTAAAGTAATTCTGTAACATAAAACTGCACAACTTATTCTGAAAATCGCAATACATGGCTAATACATGCAGTGATTCTGCTCAATCTTGGCTGCAAGTAAACAAAAAAAATGCATTACTGTAAAGCTTGGGTTTCAAAGCTGGTCATCCCTGACTGTTCCTGTTCTCTCACACCAACACACACACACACAAACAGCCTGCGCATGCTACATACTAAAACCCTGCGGCCAATCATTGATGTGGCCTCCTCATTAGAGTGTGTATTGATTAAGGTTATCGATCCATAAGTTAAACCATCAGATCTGGGCCATGGCCAACATATCACAACTCTGCTGCTGGCCAATGCCATGACAAAGGCACTATTTCTAACGATTTTGGCTATAAAAAGATGTTTGGGGCAGCGCTTTGATGTTTGATTATCAAGAGTTCTGAGTTCTCCCTGCTGAGCCGAGAGACATGAGAGACGGATGAAAGATAAAAGAGGGAGGTGGTTTGAGTAAAGGACAAAAACTGAGAAAGAGAGATACCGGCTGCAGACTTCCAGCTCATCAAGCTATAAAAAACAGACCGCCGGTGACAGAATGAGTATCAGGAAATCAAGGGAAGAGAGACGAGCAAGGGGAAGAAGAAAGGGTGTTATGCTATTCGTGTCAGATCATGTTGGCGTGATAGGATTAAATGGTGTGACACTGACACGTCGCCGTCGGTTATCATGGGATACGTGTAATAACGGTGACAGCCACACAGTGTAATCTTCCCTCATCAGGCAGTCCATTAGCAAATCACCTGCTAACTCTCACATCATTAACCAATCAGCAGGTCATCTGAAGAAGCACCTGCTCTCCCCTTTTATCAGTTTGTCCATATGTTTCATCCTCATCAGCTGGGACTCCATTTGTTAAAATATTCGCGTTCACATGCCACAGCTGATGCGACAGGAGTGACCGGGGGTGAGCAGCATGCTGGGATATCCAACACCACCCCCACAGTAGGTCAGCTAACTATATGAATATATTTAATGATTGTAGATTAAATATTTACTCATGATCCCATCCAAAAATGCCTCAGTGGCCTTTAGTGTATATTGGACATGCTCATGTTTGCACAACGCATCTCAACTATTAAAGCTGCTGGGCAAGATCAATACACCCTCATCGTGCTAA